GATCTATTAAACAAAACGATAAATTATCTCGACGAATGACACCATGTTCTAGTACGGAAGCTAGCTTTACATTTTTGTTGGTGGTTTCATGGGTTTCATATCAATTTTTTGTAATTGTAGTTTACACGTACATATACCTCTTAACACTTGTTTGCTTTATTAAAAAAGTGTGTTGTTGTGATTTACGTCGAAATAAGTCAAAAACAACTTGAAACCCCATATAAAATCAAAAAGGAGAAACGGAAAAAAATTGAGCCTGTAAATGAACACAACTCAGAAACAAAAATAGCTATCTAATAATAAAAAAATAAAATTTGATTCTTGTGCAACTTCATCTATATCATTAACTGTTTTTGGTTTTTTAATGGTTTTTCTTGGTGATGAAAATTTCGATATCTCACGGTTATCGATTCTTTTTTTCTCTCCAGAAATGCGGACGACAGTGTTTTTAGATACTCCTGTGGCTGCAGCAACACGATCATTTACATTTTTAAGTGGTATTGAAGGTGAATTAAAGTTTCCTTCTCTTCTCATAAACTCTATAACATTGGCTATTATTTCGCGAGATTGACTGTTAATCACGCGGCCTCTTAATTTGCTATTAAACTCCATACTTAGGTTCTATTAAACTGTAATGAGCAAAAAACACAAACGAAAATAAAAGAAATGTTTTAGCGAAATTTACATCTGACATTTACGTCTGAATGAAATAGTGAAATACTTGATGCACAGAGTGTACTTTCATTGCGTAAATCCGTCGGGATGCCTGTCAGTAGTGCTTCCTCTGTCTAGCCGTCGAAAGCCTCTAGAAATTTGATGAACTGTAGTCTTACAAAATTATTTCTTTTAAGTTAACAATACCACTAATTCACACAGAAATGTAAAAGGTTTATGTAAGCTACACTTTCCTTCATTGAGGATTTTAAAAACGCTGTTGGACAATCCCAAATATAATTTCAGTTTATTGGTTTGGACGATCCTGCTTATTATAAATAAGCCCTCTGAATCAGATATTAATGATGTTTCTTCTGATTCAGACAAAACTCTCAGGAAGTTCTGGATATTCTTGCAGAAGTATTTTGAGGTTATACATCTTCAAACTTATAGTAGGCTCATTTTAATATCCAGAAGGGGACAATGTCAGAAATTGCGACTGCATCTTGAAGATCCGGTGTATTTTTATTAAATAGAGATGAAAAACGCATCTAGTAGAAGGTTATTGTCTAGTCAACTTATTGGATGACATTTATTTATGTTTTCTCTTTTTTTTTTTTGTAAAATCAGTGAGCTGGCTCTTGTGTGGTGAATAAAAGGAACTTTGTAGACATTTGTGTGGTACTACCCACTTTTTAATATGTAAAGGTTTATCTATCATTTAAAAAATGAACAGTTTTCAAAATCATCTGGTATCTACAAAAAAAAGAAAAACATCGTTTCGGCTTTATCTTCGAAATTCGTTTTTAAAAGGAAATAAAAGTAATCATTCATACAAGCATATAATATCATTATCTTTAATAAGCTAATAAACGTTTGTTTCAATGAAAAAAACATATATGTGAATATAAAAAGTAATAGATAAGATTAATATCAAAATCAATTTGAAAATACAACAGATAATAAAATGAAATAAATTAATACAAGTACAAATAGAAAGTTAATAACATACCTTCTAAAAGTAACACATTTTAAGTAGATAAATGTTTAAAGAGTTTATTCCTGAACCTAATTCCCCTAATCTAACGTTTTCCCATATTATGAAGGTTTTTGTAGTTAAAATGAAAATTATAATTTATTTTGGTCCTAATAAAAATTTAAACATAGGTTATCAAAGAGTAAAATACATAATAGAACTTCATAATCTTAAATCGTTATCAAAAATTATTAATGGTAAAACTTCAAACAATAATTAGATTCTTAAACAAATTTCTAGTTTTTGTTTTGCAAAAGACTTTTTTGCCTTCTTCGGTTGCCTCTGCCACTTTTCTGTTAGTAGTTTCGAGGAGAATTTTCCTATGGAAAACAGTAGATTCATCAATTGGTTAGTAAAATTTTGATATTTTGGGTCTGGTAAGTCTTGTTAAACTTTCTTCTTAGGAAGCTGTAACCTTATGGAGAATAAAAATTTAATGTTAGATCAAAAGCTCTTAATTGAGAATAATATTTGCAAAGGCCGTTTTAATAATATTTTCAAAAGTTGTTAACAGAAACCTGAAAAAAAATATGTCTTTTTATTCCTAAAATATAAGATATCACACAATGCACATTCATATAACATCATTGTGCTACAAAAATACTAGGTAGGTACTGAGACAATTTAAAAAAAATATTTCGAGAAACTCAACTTTTATTGTTATCATTGTACTTAACTTTTATATTGCTAAATTAATTATAATGTCATTTTGTGTAGTTCGTTGTGATTTGTATAATATATATTATAAAAACCTATCGTCAATGTTAATGTGTAGAGTTTTTTTTATAATTATGTCCTTGTTATAGTAAAAACACATTTAAACACATTTTTAAATTTTTCTGGACTTCTGCTTTAAATTATCATACAATTGAACTGACTAATTGTGTGTTTAAGTAAAGGTATATCTCTTTTTTGTTATAACAGTCTTTGTATATTGTTCTAACTTTTTAGATAATCAGAGAAAACAGTAAGACATCTTAATATATTCTATTTCACCAACAAAAATGTAGAATAATTAATCTCACATCAAACGAAAAAGTCATTTTAGGATGTCCTAATAGGTTTTAACTTAAAAACTAAATAAAATGTATAGGTATTGCAACTGTGTTTAAATAAATAAATGTTTTTATACCTGACTATAGCACCAGACCATCATAATGATCTGTATAACTCAAAATAGTCAAAATCCTCATTATTTAAGTTGTTCTAGTATTGTTTTAGCATAACGATGTAAACTCCAATAATAAATATTCACATTTTTTTGGGACGTTTTTTAAGGAAATTAAAAAAACATGAATAATGTGATATTCCTGTTTAGTTTTGTACTATATAATACAGTTCATTAGGTATTGATTTAGAAGCAAATTATGTTCTATTTATAGAATAAAAAATCACTCATAATCTAAATATTTATACCTATTTATATTTTGGACAGGAAGACTATTTTATGTTTTTGGCTCTGAATAGTTTTCTTGTGAATTTTAAAACCTTCCTTAGCTCTTTTGGGATATTCCATGCATATCTTAGAAGTTCATTTTGTTTAAACCTAAAACAAATTAAGTACAAAAAATACACAAAATTAGTCTTTCAGATTAGTTAAAAAAAAGTGTCTACAAAAAAATGGCCATGCCTTTTTCCTTAATAAACATTCTTTTTGAAAGAAACTTAAGTTTCTCTGCTTACTTGCTGTTTTAGTATTTTAGTAGCAGATGAATATAGTGTAGAAGTAGTGACAGGATTGATTATTATACTTCTTTTGTCGAAATTGCATTTTTCTTTAATGTTTTCCTCCCCTGAGGTCTAAAAATTTTCATAAGCATAAAAGGTTATTCAGGTGGTCACTTGTTGAATGCCTATATTTCGGAACCAAGTATTTCTTTCTCATATCCAGAAAAGGAAACCTAAAAAAAATAACAATAAACTTTACAAAGATGTGAATATTAAAATAATAATAAGTAATTAACCTTTACTATAATCATTATGAGACGTATGAAAACGAACTTAGCTGGAGTTTACTTGCTCTTAATTTTAATTTTTCGATAAGAAAATAAGAAAGTTTAATTGCAAATTAAATGCACCGCCTCTGATAATTGGGTTGTCTGTACTTACTTATGATATTATCTTGAAGAAGCATTTTTAACAGGCCTTTTACACATAAAGCATGTTTTCACCATATTATTAGAGATAATAAATCTTAAATATACATTTACATCCCTTACAACGTTATAAATAATAATATTTTCCGTAAAATACAAATAAGAAATTGACATGTGTCAGAAAGTGTCAGAACTGGCGCTGTCAAACTTGGCAACGCTGATTAAATAAGCCAATTACAGAAGAGGTATTTTCCCCCTCGGGGGGAGTAGATGTTGCTAACAAAATTTAGCGCGGGGAAGGGGGGAAGACTCCCTCTAGTAGTAATTGCTCGGAGACACAACACACAAATTCTTGATTGACATATGACAAATACAGTGCTGACGCATTGCCATTTTCTTGTATATTAGTTGACGTTTTTTAAAACAATGAAACTATAAATATGGTGAAAGTTTAAATAGAAATAATACCTTTAAAATCATTTGATATTTTATACCTAAAAGATATTTGTTTAACGATATTTTAGAAGTCTAAAAGTAAGACGGTGCACATAAACGAACATATATTACTTCTCGAATACCGTCTTACCGACAACGTTGTGTTACTAGTTCCTATTGGTCTACTCCCGGTTACGTTATAAATTTTAAAAAATTAATAAATAAAAAAAAATTTAATGTAGCTTTATTTTAAACTATATGATTTATAAAAAAAATTTAAAAATTTTTGAACATGACCCATTCTCCAAGTATTTGTTTTCACCTTTGGGGTTAGGGGATAGCCTTAACAATTTGAAGAGGGATTTTTGAGATGTGTTTCTAAATTTTCAAATTATTCAGCAAATTTTTTCAGATATTTCGGACTTCGGATTTTTATTTGCGATCTACGATATATTAAATTTACCATTTTTATAGTGAATTAGCTTGAAAACTTACAAATACATTTATTTGCCATGGTCAATGTTTTTATATACATTTTGCTCATGCCAATTTTCACGTAAACCAAGCCTTAAAATAAAATGTCTAGTTCGTCGACCGGGTATAATATTGCAAAAGTAAAAAATAGACATATCAAAATTGTAAACCATTACCCAGAACGATCTAAGGTAGTTCCCCTCGAGGGTAGAAGCACCCTGACACATCCTCATTAAACAAGATAATCTATATCTTTAAAGGTTTACCTTCCCAATGAATTTTTCTAAGCACGTATTCAATTTTAGATGGAATTCAATTGTTCCAATTACCAGCAAATACCATTACCATAACTCAGATCCCTGCTTGAAAATCAAAGCAGTGTACTTCCTTTATAAGCGTTGCCGGTGTGATTAACACCAAATAAATTAAAGGATCTATGCTACTCTGAGATTAATAAGAGATTTAGGTTACCGGAAAATGAGGAAATTGGCATCGCATGCCTGCTGGTTTACTCGCTCGCTGCAAATACAAAATACCTAATTCGATTGTAAACTAGATTTGTATTGCTGTTCAAGAGAGTATTAGCAATTTCGTTTTTTTACTGAGAAAATAGTTGGGATTACGCCAAGAATAGATGTACTACATGCTGCAAAAGGTGCTTATTTTGTTGTAGGAATAATAATATAAGTCTTGTGAATATTTTCGATTTCACCGAATTTGTAAATAAAGTATACATTTGAAATGATGATTATTTATTATTATTTAGAAAGTTTGAATTTTTTCTGATTTTTTTATTTTTTTTATTGCTCAATCTCGTTTCTTTCTTAAAATCCAGCTTCGATCGCTTATACAGGGTGTCCTGTGTTACAGACAGGGAAACAAGTTTAAAATAAAAGTTATATGGATTTGAAAGAGGCATACTTTAAAAATATTTTTGAATATACAAGGTATTACGCCGTTTTTGTCTGGGCAAATGAAAAGTTATATTTTTTAAATCGAATACTAACAATGATTTCAAAATTATTTAAAATACAGACATAATATATAAAGCTAACTAATAGTAATGATATTATACAGAGTGTTTTGGAACGTGTCATAAGTATGGCTCATTTTAACTTTAATTTTTCAAATGCATATTATTTTAGCATTCCTCATGAGTTTACCTATCTAACGAACTAAATACAGGGTGCCTCATAAGTGTGTAAATTGATCGATAGTTGTTTTATTATTGAAAATATGAAGACATTTTTATTACAAAGGTTATTATTATTATTTTATACTATTCTTAAACATACAGGGTAGTTCATAAATAAGGAGTGGATCAATATACTGACATGATTTATCATTTCACTCGTAACAATTATACAGTATGGTTTAAATGAAAGCAATAAATTCATTAAAATGGAAGTAGTTGGTTTTTCGAAAAAAATTTTTAGGATAGGTCAATTTTATTTACACAAAGCGCAATTTTTCAAAAAAGAATTCAAGTTTCCCCCACTTCTCATTTTTCAGCAGTGACGTCATTGACAAATTTTTTAAATGGTAACCCCAGTTTTTTTCTCTTGATTTTGATAGATCAGCAATTTCCTACGCGGAAACATAATATTTGCAATATCTTATATAACAATTTAAAGATCAGATACATAAATTTTATTTTAAACTAGCTGACCCGATCCCGCTTTGCTGGAATTTCTTAAACCCCAATTATTAAAAGTGAATAACAGTTTTCGTTACTCGTGAGACATTTTTTCAGGCAATACCTGAAAAATAGTTCAATTAATTTTCATTTATTTTTATTTATTTTTATTTATTTTTATTTATTTTTATTTATTTTTATTTATTTTTATTTATTTTTATTTATTTTTATTTATTTTTATTTATTTTTATTTATTTTTATTTATTTTTATTTATTTTTATTTATTTTTATTTATTTTTATTTATTTTTATTTATTTTTATTTATTTTTATTTATTTTTATTTATTTTTATTTATTTTTATTTATTTTTATTTATTTTTATTTATTTTTATTTATTTTTATTTATTTTTATTTATTTTTATTTATTTTTATTTATTTTTATTTATTTTTATTTATTTTTATTTATTTTTATTTATTTTTATTTATTTTTATTTATTTTTATTTATTTTTATTTATTTTTATTTATTTTTATTTATTTTTATTTATTTTTATTTATTTTTATTTATTTTTATTTATTTTTATTTATTTTTATTTATTTTTATTTATTTTTATTTATTTTTATTTATTTTCATATATTTTTATTTATTTTTATTTATTTTTATTTATTTTTATTTATTTTTATTTATTTTTATTTATTTTTATTTATTTTTATTTATTTTTATTTATTTTTATTTATTTTTATTTATTTTTATTTATTTTTATTTATTTTTATTTATTTTTATTTATTTTTATTTATTTTTATTTATTTTTATTTATTTTTATTTATTTTTATTTATTTTTATTTATTTTTATTTATTTTTATTTATTTTTATTTACTTTATTTATTTTTATTTATTTTTATTTATTTTTATTTATTTTTATTTATTTTTATTTATTTTTATTTATTTTTATTTATTTTTATTTATTTTTATTTATTTTTATTTATTTTTATTTATTTTTATTTATTTTTATTTATTTTTATTTATTTTTATTTATTTTTATTTATTTTTATTTATTTTTATTTATTTTTATTTATTTTTATTTATTTTTATTTATTTTTATTTATTTTTATTTATTTTTATTTATTTTTATTTATTTTTATTTATTTTTATTTATTTTTATTTATTTTTATTTATTTTTATTTATTTTTATTTATTTTTATTTATTTTTACTTATTTTTATTTATTTTTATTTATTTTTATTTATTTTTATTTATTTTTATTTATTTTTATTTATTTTTATTTATTTTTATTTATTTTTATTTATTTTTATTTATTTTTATTTATTTTTATTTATTTTTATTTATTTTTATTTATTTTTATTTATTTTTATTTATTTTTATTTATTTTTATTTATTTTTATTTATTTTTATTTATTTTTATTTATTTTTATTTATTTTTATTTATTTTTATTTATTTTTATTTATTTTTATTTATTTTTATTTATTTTTATTTATTTTTATTTATTTTTATTTATTTTTATTTATTTTTATTTATTTTTATTTATTTTTATTTATTTTTCTTTATTTTTATTTATTTTTATTGATTTTTATTTATTTTTATTTATTTTTATTTATTTTTATTTATTTTTATTTATTTTTATTTATTTTTATTTATTTTTATTTATTTTTATTTATTTTTATTTATTTTTATTTATTTTTATTTATTTTTATTTATTTTTATTTATTTTTATTTATTTTTATTTATTTTTATTTATTTTTATTTATTTTTATTTATTTTTATTTATTTTTATTTATTTTTATTTATTTTTATTTATTTTTATTTATTTTTATTTATTTTTATTTATTTTTATTTATTTTTATTTATTTTTATTTATTTTTATTTATTTTTATTTATTTTTATTTATTTTTATTTATTTTTATTTATTTTTATTTATTTTTATTTATTTTTATTTATTTTTATTTATTTTTATTTATTTTTATTTATTTTTATTTATTTTTATTTATTTTTATTTATTTTTATTTATTTTTATTTATTTTTATTTATTTTTATTTATTTTTATTTATTTTTATTTATTTTTATTTATTTTTATTTATTTTTATTTATTTTTATTTATTTTTATTTATTTTTATTTATTTTTATTTATTTTTATTTATTTTTATTTATTTTTATTTATTTTTATTTATTTTTATTTATTTTTATTTATTTTTATTTATTTTTATTTATTTTTATTTATTTTTATTTATTTTTATTTATTTTTTTATTTATTTTTATTTATTTTTATTTATTTTTATTTATTTTTATTTTTTATTATTATTATTATTATTATTATTATTATTATTATTATTATTATTATTATTATTATTATTATTATTATTATTATTTATTATTATTATTATTATTATTATTATTATTATTATTATTATTATTATTATTATTATTTTATTTTATTTTATTTTATTTATCTCAAAAAACGGATATGTATTGAGATTGCAAACAACTCCGGAAATTGGAGAACGTCCAAGAAGAGATCGCTGCACGTCTCTCCCATTGTATTGTAGCTGAGAGGCCAACAATTTGAGCACTTGAAATAGATTTGGTTGTATTTAATGAATATTAATAATAATATTTATTCTAATAATAAAAGGCAAGACGTCGGTGGATGACACCTAATTTAGTAGAATATTTTTGAATGTCTGATATATAAATGACTTTATTCAAAAAAATTGTTTTATATGATATTGCAAATATTATGTTTCCGAGTAGAAAATTACAAAATCTACCAAAATAAAAAAATTTGGCCTATTATTTAAAAAAAGTATCAATGACGTCACTGCCCAAAAATGGGAAGTGGGAAAATTTGAATTATTTTTGAAAAATTGCGCTTTTAGTAAACAAAATTGTCCGGCCCGAGCATTTTTATAAAAAACAACTACTTCCATTATATAGAAATTCTTCCTTTCATTTGAACCATACTGTAAAATGAAAATATTCTTCAGTTTAACTAATTCACTCAAGATAATAAGTAATAAGTAGTTAGTTGAATAGGTATAATTTCACAATCAATTACGCGTGCTTGCTAGATTTTCCTAACATAATTTTATTTTTTGATAATTAATATTTGACATTACCTGATATGCGTTGTATAGTGACATAATTATAACAATGTTGGATGTTTAATTGAAACCGAAACCGGTAGTTAATCAATTATAATTAAAACATGTGGTGCATATTTTGAATAATAATATTTCATTCATGAAAATGGCCACATTTTAGTAGTTGAATACCCTCACGATTTATTACCATTCATTCAAATAAGTAATATTAGCTTAAATATCAGTGTGTAATGTCCACTTTTTAGGTCTGATGACGTCACTTAGTGGCCGAAAATATTCTCCCTATTATTCAAAAAGTATTAAAATTCTGTGATAAATGACTTAGTTTTCTTTCCTTGTATGGAAATAGCCTCATTATTAGTAAACAATTTTACTCAACTTATCACAATTAGTATGCTATCTCTACCTTTTTACTTTCCTATCTGTATACAGATATAAGGAAAGTATAGGAATCATGATTTTTTTCGACCTCGAGTTTTCGACGGATTTTTACGTTTTGAGGTCCCCTGAATCCGTTTTGACTATTTTCGCGATGATGTCTGTGTGTGTGTGTGTGTGTGTGTGTCTGTGTGTCTGTGTGTGTGTGTGTGTGTGTGTGTG